TCTTCGACACACGTACACACTACCGCGAAACTAAGCTCAACTCGACACGTGTAAACCGACCTTGATTCGCCTACACTCAGTGTCAGTCAAATCATCTTTGCCGTTTGACCAACTACTAACCACGGAAATAAGTAGTATACATATTCTCTCAATCGACATGCTCAATCGAAATGTTCAATCGACCTGGTTTTTTAATTCCAGTCGTGACTGAGACACGCTGAAAGTGGATAAGTGTGCTTAACTTGAAAATACAGCATCATCAAATCTTCTTCTCATTTCCTTGTTAGCACCGTCAAGCATAGATATACAAAATTGTTTCAAACTGGAAGGCCTCCCATTCCTTCTTTTCTACTGGCGACAGGCTCGACAAAACTGGATCTTGCTGCCTTTTCGTGGGCGTTTACGTTGCAGTGCTTCTCGGGCGCTGCGTTGTTGTGTTATCACATTGTCGTTGTGTCGTGTGGACAGGCGACCGGATCTTGAAACAGATCTGAGCCTCCAAAAGCAGCCATTCTTCCTGCAGTCATCGGTTCGTTGTCTGTCTCAACGTCTTGACCATGCTCTCCGTTTTTGCCAGACGTCCCCTACCTTCGAGACTCCTAGAACGCATTCTTGCACTTTCCGCGGATCTGATTTTGCCCATCCACTAGCATCAACTCAATCACAACATCCTCTTCAATAGTACTCAATCTCAATGCTGCTATTCTCAAAGTGGAAAAGATTGCTAGCTTTAGACCTCTCTTTCAGATTCACACACACAAATACACATTCAGGCATGAATACAAAAATATGTTAATTCCTACACATATGCATCCATACACATACACACATGCAGATTTATGTATTGTTGCTTCTTTTCGTAAATGTTGATCTCTATGCCTGACACTAACAATCATCCTTCAGTTTTCGGTAAGGGCCAATTGTCGAATATTTACTAACGTAAAATGAAAAGACGAATCACAGCATTTTATTGAGGAATTCTTAAAAAATCATCCTTTCTTCACATCCACGCACATTCAGTCATGTCCACAGCATCAACTCATAATTACATACACACACTCACACATTTCCGCATAGATACACAGCCTCATAAGTGCACAGGCGCATAAATGCTGTCATAGACACACGCACACCTGCATACATTTTGTGACATTAATTCGTTTATCTCAGCATACGTACATTCATGCATATATGTACATTTAAACAACCACATAGTTGCATTCATACATCCAAATAGGCAATCGTGCTTGCATGCATAACCTGATTCCACCAGACATATAACCGTTCATCCATCGATATATATATACAGCCAAACAGACGTGCATGCATTTTTCACGCACATCAATGAATGCATGCAAGCAGACACGCGGGCATTCGACGCGAAAATAAGCAAAGGTAGAGATGAGGTAAAATTAACCAACCAATGCCTCGTCCACCTTTCATAAGTAATTTTCGCAGAGCAGGTGTGATGGTGTGAAGCCTGTCAGCTGGACTGAAAGACAACGCCTGATTTTCCGTTATTCCCGCCTGCCGGGGCTGGCACGACGTCGCCGCCCCGATCGCTTGCTTTGGCTTTCTCTTGGCAAGGCAAGCCAGAGGTGCGCGCGCGAGCATTGGCATTTGAGAGAGCGAGACGTGTGGCGATGGCGTCTCTCGCGTCGGCCAATCAACGCTGTGCGTGTGTAAGTTGAGTGGCGAGAAGAGAGAAAGAGAGAGGGGGCGGTTCAGGCGCGCTCGCGGTCGAGCCGACAGACAGACTGCGACCGCTCAGAGCGCCAGGCCCGCGGGAGAGCGCATCCCGACCAATCGGCGACGAGGCAGGCGTCGCCTCATCCAGCCCTGCCTCCTGGCCATGCCGGCAAGTGTGAAGCGGCCAAACGAGAGAACGACGCTGTGACTGCCCGGCCGGGCTGGGCCCGGGCCGGGGACAAGCGCGTCGCGGTGACGCCAGCCGGTGAATCCGCGGCCTGGAGAGACGCGAGGCTGCGCTGCATGCCGAGACGGCATGACGGAGACGTGATAAGGCGAAAAAGAGACGAGTGAACGATGCGGCTGGCGAGAGAGCGAGCAAAAGAGGAGGGGGAGGAGAGGTGAGAGTGGTGGACTGATGCAAGAACAATTCAGTCAAATCTACCGCTTGGCTGGGGCCATTTTGAGCTCGACGATCCCGAAGTCTTCCAGTCGCGCAATTTTGCCAGCCTTTTCGCCTCGTGAACCTGACTTCCGGACAGCCGAAGACGACGGCATGTCTGAGGCGGGTGTCAACGTGGACGCGTCGTCAGGGCCGCTGTGGAGCCACTGCCTGGTCGACCGTCAGGCGCTGACAGCGGGCGTCGGTCTGCTGCAGGAGGGCCGTCAGCCCGAGCCTCAGGCCGACGCAGATTGGCTCCGCGGTCTGCAGACCGGCGGGGGGGGGG